TTTTAGCAGCCTTCGGTTACCGCCAGCGCGCATTTTACATTCCCAGTTCAGCGTAAAAAGTACACATGCAGGCCCACTCGCATGAAAGTTCCTCAAGGGAGAGTGTCACACCCAATGCTTTTGTGCACTCGCATGAAAATGGAGAACTACTTCTCGGAAGCACTCTAACGGACATAGGTCGTCGGAAAGGATCTTTCTCGCGAGTAATTCCATGCGAGTATACTTGCACGTGTGAGCCCAACCTCCGCCGGGGAAAATCGAGTAGGATTCACTTGCCTCTCGGTGTGATGGAAGGAGGATTCACAGAAGGCACATTTTCTTCCTTCGTCATTTCGCCGTCTCGCATGGAAGTGCTACCTGCACGATCCCCACTCTCCCGTCCTCAGCTACCGTGTAACACCGTATAATAGCAGAGCACGTGCACGAGCCACGGTGGGCACACAATCAGCTGACAGTGTCACGTGATTACACTATACTGCTCCTTGCAAGTTTGGGGCTTCGAGTGCCGGCGGCGGCCAACCCACATACTAAATCTCGACAGGTTTTTTCAACGGTTCTGAGACAGGCAAGTCTCTCATCCACTGATAAGGAATTTCGGAAAGAAAAGGGGAAAAAGGGGCTGGGGAAACCCCTATCCCACAGTAGATCTCGAGGATAGAACACATGCCAACCGTCCACGCTGGGATATAAAGGTTGAATCAGAGAAACAGCATGAAGAAGAGGGACGGGTTTGTATAATAGAAGACGTGTAGATGTGCATCTCTATCTCTTTGGACAGCTGACTTTCAGTAGGGTTCAATCCATTTTCACATTTAAACTTGTATGCAGGAAGGGAAAGAGGTACATCTGGAGTGTCAGTAAAGCTGTTGAGGTCATATTCCAGTCTCGTGAAGCTTTCGAATATTGTCATATTCGAAAATTAAAGACACTTAAGCGTTTTCTTCTGATATTACAAGGCTTTTATAACTACTCCATTCAATGTGGATTCCTGCATAGGCGGCTCGTGATATTCAGCAGTAGTGTATTCTTAATGGAGGTAGGGTAGGGCCGGGCCTACCCTGCCTCCATTGACGATCCACTACTGCTGAATATCATGAGCCGCCACTGGATTCCTGAATATACAGTATACAGTTGTTCATGCTGAGAAACAGAAAAAATTGCATACACCCTGATGGGTCGGCATTCAATCTTCAGACAACCCTTAATGCAGACGGCCCAAAGACTCGTGCGAGATGCTTTGTCGATCAAGGATATCGGAACGAAAATAAGAAAACGACCGGCTCTTTGAGCGAAGCAAATGAGCCGTTAGTGCATTCAAAAGGTCGAGGGGAACAGCCGAAGGATGTGCATGGGATTCACAATGAGCGTCCGCTTCGCAAGCAGCAGCCCAGGGCAAGGGGAGGCAGCGCTTAATCTCGGGGATCAGGAACGGCCCTGCTGAGCCATTTCGGGAGTGATTCAGTGTATTTTGGCGACGCGACTTTCAGTCCTCCCTCGATTGAGCGTTCTAGTGCCCCAGGCAGCAGGAACAGAACAATTCAAGCTCCATGCCCGAATCGCGCGATCTCTTTCTTGTTTATGTCTCACATCTTAGCAACTGGACAAGGAAAGGGAGACGAAGGGGTAATACAAAGATACAGGTCGCTGCTAAAGGTAACTAAAAATAGGCCCTATGGCGGCCTATGAACTCGTTAAAGCAGTTATGGTCTTAGCGCCTGTGAGTGTAGCAATCTATTAAATTACCACTTATTTGATGCAGGTCAATTCAAAACACCGGAAACCGTACCAAAAGCGGGTTAAGGGTACCAGATTTGAACTTAAATTGCAGGTTTCCTGCTTATTACAGTCAAAATTTCTCACATCTCGTTAAAACTGCAAAACAAGTCCTACAGCAAGATGTTGCAGCTCAAGTTCCTCAGATCATGAACTGGCCCTGCAGACCAAAAAGTATTCAAGGACAGGGACCCGATTCCAAGGGTAAGCGCTTCCGTAAGCTATCTAAATTACCCATTTGGTGTGATTGCTTCACGAGTCGACTGAGAGCAGAGGTTAATTCAGAAGCGTCTGAGTTACAAGTTAAAGCGTTTAATATTTTAACGGAAAAGTGCCACTGAGCTGTACGTCTGCGAAATACAAGGCCTTTAAAATTGCTTTTAAAAAATTATTCTGAGGAAAAAATATCACCTTGAGTATACTATAATCCACCTACTATAGTCTTCTAGTTTGAGCTCTCTCGTCGAGAAATTGGGAATTTATGAAGAATTAGCACCAGTTGCGCGGGCAATATGTGATTTTCATCGCTGGAGAGATGAAAGAAAGAAGGCGGACGGAGAAATTTATTCAGCCCGTTTCACTAACGAGCTCCGCATGGAAGGTTCAGCTTCGAGGGGGATGAAAAGGCCTCGAGCGTTTTCTGGGCCCTTCGCGCGCCTCCTCGATTCCCGCTCTGTCGTGAACCGTGGGCACAAATTCGCCGCAGCAAGTCGATTGTGCGATCTCACGTAAGACGTCAGTGAAATAAGGAGTTAGAAAAAGTTTGACGTTCTTTGAATAGCCCTTCAACACCTACAAAAGTTTGACTACGTTCATAAGGTATTTAGTAGACACTAACTCTTAGTAGCGCTTTCAAAATACCATCTTACAACTAGAGATAATAGAAACTTCGGAGCTGATAAGTTATTAGGCTTTTTAAAATGTTACTCATCGTGTTTCAGGACTTCTGTACTCAAGGGTCGATATCGTCAGGAATCTGACGATTGACTGAACATGCAATTTCGAAATTTTTAGAAGAGCAAGCATTTGCCCTTTTTCGCCTCCAGAATGAGAATCAAGGAGCGTTGAACTTTGCACCAAGAAGAGTCTCAGCTCTCTCGTGGAGACGCAGAAAACCTTTGATTATCAGTCTTCAAACGGAGAGAATGAGAACTCATGTCCTTCTGGAAGTTTTCAAATTTGCATATTCGCCCTTTTGCCAAATCCTCGACGATATATGTGCTCACTGCCAAAAGAAATCACCACCAACAAGCAGATGGGCTATATTCATTACATTTAGCATAACAACTCTAAGTACGATATTGTGCGATAAAATATATTAAAGTTTCAAGGTCGTAGGTTGAATTTTTGCATAAACCTCCTGAAACACCCAAGTGAACAGTTGCACGTGGCTCCAGGGATTTGCATTGAGTCATGAGTGGCAAGGTATTCTTTTCTAACCGAACTCAGTCAAAATGTTCAAGATGGTTAAACTGCCTCAGACGATGTTGTCGTGGCACTGCTTCACAAAAACGCGCAACCACGACTACTACCGGTTCCTATATAAAATTTAATGAAAATAGCTTAGTTCTTTTTTTTTATATTTTTCTTTCCTTGCAATGAGGGCAAATTGAATAGCAAGGAAAGTTTAAATTTCTTCTATTTGGAAATGTTGACTGGTAGCGTAGGCTTTTAACCCTTTCCACTCGTTTGTCGAGCTGGGCTCGCCATCGGTCGTAGCGTTGCGGGGAAAAAAAAAACGAGTGGAAAGGGTTAAAATTACTTGCACTAACCAGAACATGCTAAGGATGCATCCGAGGCAGAGGAAATGTCACTACATATTGTGACATTTTCCCTGCTTCTACCAAGTTTTACTTCTTCTTATGTTTTCATGGAATTACTTAAAATTGTGTAAAACCCAAAGGCAGATAATGAAAGGTTGGGGAAACTGAGCTAATTGCCCATCGCCTTCTTTGGGAGTTTTTTCTTATTATGAAACTTAGCAAGTCTGCTTGGTAAATATTGAAGATATCAGTGAATTTCTTCAACCGTATCTATGGGAACCAGGAATCAAGACGGACGGAATCAAGCTTCCCCAGTCCGGCCGTGACGTCACGCGCAAAACGGAATAATCACATTCGCCCGTGCATATTACAAATCGACAATTTTCATTCCATCGAGAACGGAAACAGTTTTTTATTTTTTATTTTTAACAAATCGCCCTCAGGAACGAGGGTCGGGGGAACTGCATTCTAGTTGCCACCGGCAATGCACAAGACTTCTCTTGGCCCGATATCAATATTGAAGGGAGAAAGTCCATTCTCAAATCTTTGTTTTTCTGCTAACACATCGGGAAATCGGGACCGTTCCTCGTCCCGACAATGGTGTCTCGGCGGGACCCGTACCTGGAAACGGGGGCATGCGGGCACCTTCGTAGTCTGGGCTTTGAAGAATTTCATCCCAAAAAACATTCCACTCATCCATGGGTAACATGTATTTTGTATGAGAACAGTGCCTCGCAGGTTCACATTTGGTTGCTTTGGATAAGTTCAGTTGCGACCTAAAATATGCGGGGTTACGAATCCTCTGAACATCGGCTAAGAGTTATATTGGGTGCCATATTTGTAATCTATTGTCAAACTGCCAGGTTCTCAAAGTGCCCTTATCTAGTCCAATAAGGCAGTCCATCTCTCGACACTTCAGATCAGAAGATTTCGATGCTTAACCCCGATAGAGTCCAATTCGAAAGCTTACAGGAAAAGGTTGATTTTCAGTTCTCGCTCGTGAAGAGATTCGTAAATTAACGCAAAGAGGGGAAGAACATGAAGGAAGGCGAGAAAACAAGGAGCTAGGTGGAGGGGGTGGGTAGGCAGAAAAATGCCTCGAAGGCAGGCGAAGTGATTTCCCTCTAGTCGCGACGGTGCGATCAGGTTGGCAATCAGTGTGAGCACCGCAGGGTGTCGGAGGCTTGGCCTGGGCTCTCCCACCCCTTTGGCCCTCGCCTCTGCTTCTTTCTTCCTCGCCAAAGCATTCTCGTTTTGATTCCTGTGGCATACGTACCAGTTTTAGACCCGTAGCATCGAGTAAGTTGACGACAATGACCGAGTCGAGCTCTGGGTGCACAGAGTAACGTAATGCAACGAGTTAAACGTATGCATGCATCGCACGGTACAGTCTCCCCGAATGTACCTGTAGCCTTCATCAGGGAGTCATAGCCGTTTCACGTGTTTCTATCGGGGAGGGATCAGGAGGCAGGCCCTGGACTTCATGCCCTAGGCCTACCTAGAAATGCCAGGAGGCAGGTGTCGATGCAAATCGTACTTGACAGATGACTGATGGTGAAGAAACGACCCCACTCGAAGGAGGCATGTGACCAAAACGCGTATAACAGGCGCAGTTCGTACCCAGAACTCCACTCGATAGGTGTTCGAGTACCAGGCAACGATGCCTGCTAACAAGGGTCCTCACGGCACCTTCCATGGCTTCCTTCCAGGTGTCAGGAGGTCCAAAGTCACGGGAACCATGTCTGTCAACTTCAACGACATCATCAAGCAAGGTTACGTGCGGATGAAGAGCAGAAACCTAGGGGTGAGTAACAGTGATTTTTTTTTTTCCGAGGTTCTCCTAACAGATCACGATGGTCTCACCATGGTGATATGTTCTCAGCTTTGGCGGAGGAGATGGGTGATTTTGAGGAAGGCGTCTAGTCGAGGTCCTTGCCGAATTGACAAGTACGCGGACAAGGAATCGGCGGTGGCCGGTCGTCCTCCCGTCAGCTCTCCGCTTCCCCTCAACCATGTTTTGAAGGTGGAACGACTGCCCCCTCATCATGGCCCCAATTCCTTCGTCTTGGAGTTCTATCACGACGACCAACATCAGCGCGGAACCCCTCATGTTCGTATCATCGCCTGTGAAACAGGTGAGTCTTTTTTTTTGTTGCCAAAGCAGGAATATTGTTGGCGTCGTCTTCCACGCAGCTGACTCAATCGAGGAGAGCTCATAGATGCCTTCTGTTGTGTGCTTGCATAGTTGGTAGATTTGAATTAACATAGGTTGGAACTGCTTGACGTATTCGCAGAGATTAACGGAGGATATTGACGGTATGCTTGTGATAGAGGAGGACGCAGATGCCTGGGTGAAGGTGTTGAGCGTGGAATGCCAATGTTCGCGGAGTCCTAGTCCCACCGAGGAGCTTCAATGGCCCATCTCAGGGAGCCCACCTAAGGAAAGCGCCGTGAACCCCCCTGGTATTACTGCTCTTCCATCTTTGATTCCTGTCGTTTCCATTAATTTATCGCGACAATTTACCGGGTAGGAGAATAGTGTATAGCTCCTTTCCAAGTGATTTGTATTCAAAAGCTTTAGCTGTACGAGCTTATTTTTGAATAACATAATTCATAGTAGGCCTACCCAGCTTTGTGTACTGCCATGCCAAACATGAAATTAAGTGAATGCATATTTTCAGTTAGAAATAATTTTTGAACATCCAGAGGTAGCATAAGCCATAAGAATTAACAATAAGTAGACACGAAGCAAAAGTGTTATAATGTTCGGTACTAGAAAGTGGTAACCGACTTGAAGCAGTTCCATGCCTGTCTGGAGACCGCTAGTCTCAAGAAGAAATGAACTACACGAATTAGGAAGTTGATTTGATTATGTAGATTAATTGGCTTACATTCATTAGCGTAAATCAAAATTTCAAGACGCACTCATTTCATAACGGCAGGCGTTTTCTTTCCACAGGGGACCGTTTCAATGTCTATATGCTGCCGTGTAAAGGAACTTCCGTGAGAGGAGAATGTCTCCTGCAGGTGGCTTCCGGACACATTCAACTGTGGGACGTAGAAGAGCCTCGCTTGAAGCTCGTGTCTTGGCCCGTCGCTGCCCTACGTCGTTATGGACGGGATTCCGGCAAATTCATTTTCGAAGCAAACAAGTACGTGAGGGTTGCAGGGAATGATTACTCATGCTTTCCGCGCAGAGTTTGACCTTGCATTTCGGATTCCTCGATTGCAACAACAGGAACTGTGTCACCGGTGAGGGGACCTTCATCTTCCGCACTACGGAAAGCGAGGCCATATTCAAGCAAGTTCATGAGGTAGCTATGGTATTTGCGACCGCTTCCGGAACCAAACTTCATAAGAGCAAGTCCGTCCCGTCTAAATCACCCCTCCCTTGCCGACTGAAGAAGTCTCATACGACGGGTGAGTCCTGTTCCAGTGATTGAGGGTTTCGGCCATTGCAAATGTAACGATCATTTCAATGAGATTCCTTCCCCCCCCTCCACCCTTTTTGCAGCTTCACTTATCCCTGGCGTTGTCTATGGAGAAGAGGAGTTCCAATACCTTGATGACCTGGAAGGATTCAACGAGTCCTCCTCCGCAAACTTCATAGTCAGCTGCTGAAGCATTTGTCTTTCTCCTTTTCTTTGCGGTTTTAGGTGGGAATGCGAGTAGAGGTCATGGATGACCTCTACTCGCATTCCCGAGAATGGAGCATTTTCGCACGGCGAAAATTCTCCAGGTGGCCCCTTTTTCTTCGCGTCGCCCCTACAACTCATTTGACTTTTCATGTTTGTATAAATAGCCCAGGAGCAGTCGTGGTATGAAGTACAAATCGAGAGCGTATGTTTTATTGTAATGCTGCTGTCTTGCAGGAATGGACAGGAAAAGCCCAGGAGCACCTGGTTGGTTATATTTTCTTCTTTCTCGTACGTTTTTGCTCTCATACATGCGACAATAGATCTCAATGCGTGCGATACAGTTATTTGCGATTAATTTCATTAATTAAAACGACTTACCAAGGAGAGCCTGTCAGCATTACTGCAGAATAGAAGTGAGGCTACTTAATCAAGGGCAATTTAATACACTCCACTCCACTGTGGCTTTTTTTTTTAAATCAACCATCTGCCTCAGACTTGATCTCTACGAACTCATTTTACGAAAGGACGCTACCTCACTCTTTTAGTTTCTCTTTTTGGCTCTCCTTGGACTAGTACAGGAACCGATTTTCTTACTCAAATGTTTCATGTGCAGCGCCAGGAACAACAAATGCCAAATGATCTGTGAGGAGTTAGGCATTGACCAATGAAATTTCTGACCTAATGGGATGTAAATTGTGATTTTTCAATGGGAACTCCAGTGTGTGATGTGTGCAGAGGATTGAGAATCCAAATAAAGTTATTGCAGAATGCAGCATTCATGTGTTCAATCAAACTCATGGTGTGAGGATATTGCATCTTGAAACTTCAACCAGACACACATACAGTACAGTGCTACATATTGGGCACAAATGTAGCTGAAAAGTTTAAATTTCTTAAAAGGTTTCTAGAATGGGTTTGTGACTAGAGAATCACTTCATCTTGGCACAGATAGAACAATGCCCAATGAGAATGTCTACAAAGATACAGCCACCACTATAATAAGTCACAGAGAAACAGTCAAGCTGTGAAACAGTACATTTTCTATTGCCTCAGACTACCTTGTCTGAAGCCTACAACAGGGAGAAAGAAAATGTCATGTCTTCTGTCAACTGAGTCCCAAAGAGCAGCAGCTCTAGAAGGGGGAAATGAATGCCAGATGCTGAATTCTGAATAACTGTCCACTGATTCTTCCCAAGGCCACTGATTTCATAATAAAAAGCCAAGTTGAAGGCTGACAGGTGGGAGTGGCTCACATTTCCACAAAAGTGCAACCCTGAACTGGGCAGCATTATAAACAATGAATTCATTTGCTTATACATAAATATGAAGCATCATGATGTGACAGGACATAGCTTGATCTAAGTCTGTAACCTTCCCACATGCCTCTTGTCTCAGTGGGGCAATGCAACTTCTCCAAAATCAAGGGGGGAAAAAACGAAAATCAATCCACAACCATGGCACAGGCACTTTGGGAGCATCACAGATGACATGCAATCAGAGAGCTAAGCAAGGGCAGATGGGAAATGTGCAGAGGTAATGGAAATGAGCTGAAGCAGCACATTTTACAATACCTATTCTTCTATGGTTTGAAAGATCACTGTGGATTTTCAACTCTATTGGAGGGATATCTTGTCCATTTGATGAGGGTTTCAGGAGATCGATAGAGGAATATGAGTTTAGCAAATAAATCTTCTTCCAGAGCAAGTTCTCCACTCTCACGCACCAGATAAATGTCAAGGCACAGCTGAAATGAAGGACCAACATTTAAATTACAACATATGATGAGATCCATTCTTAGAAGGGGCATGCTGCACATGATAACTCTTTACCTTGAGAATCCTATCTACATATGGAAGATCATCAAACATGATTTGATAAGATATTCCAGAGAAGTACGTCCTCACCACCTTGGAAGCCACTAAGACAAGGGACATGTACATCCCGATGATCCTGAGAAGAAAATGCACAAACTCTGAATAAAGTTTCATCATGCATTCCAGATGCCAAGGGATAACTCACCCTCCAGCTGACAACCAACTGAGAGATGAAGGAAAAGTTTTGTCACTGAAGGTATAGATGCGTAGAAACTTGCAGTCACCCAAATATGGCAGGGATCGAAAAAAGTTGTCCTGGCAATCCTCTTGCACTGTCCACCACTGGACAACACTGGATTCACTTAGAAAGTTTCCCCGCATGAGTTGAAGGGATATATTACCCTTTCCCAATTCTTCATTGGCTGAAACCCAAGAGACATTAAAAAGCAGGAGCAAGGGGTTGGCTTTCTAAGAAAAGATATATGGACATTCTATGGCCATTCAAACAAAAAAGAAATACTATGGAGACTGGAAGAACAGACCAGGGACAAGCTGAGTGATGTAGTTTGAATGTCCCTTGTTGGAAACAGAGACAAACTTTGGAAGCAGATTAGTAAAGCGCACAGGATCATCCAGAGTTCTGTTCAGAGCTAAAGTGAGGTTCATACGGGCTTCACTCCCAAGTACCAGAGGCACTGTCAGATCTCCTCCTGCCTTACCTACCACATCTGAGGATGTGGATAGTCTGGATACATACCAGGACAACTTCATGGACATATTTCGATCTGCTCAACAGAAATGCAGAGATTTTATTACTTCACGAGAAACACAGAAGTGATGTGGGCTACATTTAGAATAAACATTCATCACCAGATAGAAGGTCCTCAATGAGACGTTCCTGAGCAGGAGGTGAGATGGTCCAAGTCCCAGTGCTATTCCCATCCAACTCTGCCACTACAATGTCACGGTAGTCAAAATTTGCAAGAAATGCTAATGAGTTTTTTCTTGCTTTGTAGAAATAGCTGAGCTTCTCATAATCGCTCTGTGTGAATCTATAAAAATGTAAAAATATAAAACAATCAGCCATTGAAAACACAGGAGAAATGAGAAAATTTGATGGCCTTACTGTATTAGTGAGCCATGTTGAGCTGACATCTGGAAAAGTGGCTGATATGCATCAATACTGATTTCCACAGTAACATCATATGGAGGATTTGGCATGCCAACAGTGTTTCCAAGTGCAAAAAGGACCAGAGGAAACCAGATGATTGCAATGATTCCAAATAGGCACGCCCCTCCCAGTCCATACTTGACGTTTCCTGGTCTTCCTTTCCCCCGCTCAAGTGGGTACTCAGCTTCAGCTTTTCGTTGACACTGAATGAAAAATGGTGAAAACATCAAATATTAGATCAAGCTGAGATATGAAAAAGTGACTAAGTGAGGCTGGAAAATTGTGCATCACCTTTAGTTGGAAAGTATTAGCAAAGATATCTTCCATCTTCAGCCAATCAAACAAAGACATTGATGTTTGAGTCCACATCCAGTCCATGATTGCTCTCAATTCAAAGAGGAATGGAATAGCCATGAACCTGTTTTATGCATATACATGATATGACTAAATACAAAACTGACAACAGAATCAGCATGAACAAGAAGTGCTGTTCAGCTCACCCTTTGAAGAGAAAGAGGTGCAAATAGTTGTACTTTTTACATAGGACATTGCCCAGAATGCGTGTTGGATAGCCACTTCTAATCTGGTAGGCAGACAAGAGGAGGTATAGGCATTTGACAAAGTACCATATTTGTGGAGGGAGAGTGCTTCCAAAAGTCCTACAATGAAAAAACTTGTCAAAATCCTCAATTCTGTCAAGAAGACACAAGCCCAAATGAAGAATCAGTGAAAAAGGAACCTGTCAGTAACTGCTGGAAGGACAAAAAACATCCATAAGTGAACTCCAATGACTTGAATTCCTTGAAAGATGACCTTTCCAAGAATGGATTTCTTTAGATACAAGGCACGATCAACCACGATCAATGCGAACTGAAGGATCAGCATGATGAGAAAGGGGATAGGAACTTTGTTGTCCTGGAGGTATGAACTGACCCCATCAGATGACCCACCCTAGGAAGAGATAATTGGGTCAAGAATAACCAGGAAACCAACTGGTTCTTTCTTCTATCTATCATGAGAGGAGGGGGAAGGGATGAAAACTCACACCAAAGGCTGAGAATCCAAAGACAATGACAAGAAAATTGACAAAATCACAGATGAACATGGAGGCATATACATCAACAGTCACTCTGTATGGTGGATGGAGGATATGTTTGATGAATTTCACCAAGGGAGAAGATGTCTTCTTCGCACTGGACAGCAAAAAGAGCAATCAATACACATATTGACATTCATCATATGATGAAAGAGTGATTAATGCTGATAAGTTTTCATATTTTACCAAATACTTGAAGCATCCTTCAGCTTCACTCGATGAGACTTTTTGTCCTGAGTCATTGGAGCATCACCACCTGCACCATAATCGATTGATACATCTGATGAAGATGAAGATTCCACATTTTCTTTTCTGGTTTCTTCTTCCTTGAATACCCCTTGCTTCCATAAGCCCAAACTCTGTAACAACCACATCTCAGCCATTCAATGCATGGGCTATCCCCACCTCTACAGCTGCTCTAAAAATTTAATGCACTCTCTCCCATACCATTGGCCCAGAATGAATGAGCAACTAAGGACAAAATGATATGAGCAGAAGCTCATGTCTAAGTTCAATAGCACATTCTTCATTTATTTCATCTATTGGAAAGATGAATGTAAAACAAGAATGTATCATGGCTATAATGTCTTCTTTTTCTAAGCAAGGTTTGTGTTTTGTGGAAATAATTGAAATAAATGCTGGAAATGTTGAGAGAGGCCATAGGAGACTATGCACCTGTCCTACACAATGTTCAGTTGTGGGTAGCTGCATCCAGAAGTGGAAAAACCACAGTTAAAAGTGAGTCACCACTCTGGCTGGCCTTCATCAGCTTCAGCACCAAAAATTGTGGCTGCTGCATCTCAATGATAGGCTCCTTGTCAAGAAGAATGTTGTTAAGCTTTTGAATTCCTAGGACAGGTGGGGATTATGATGATGTGGGTGAAGTCAACTCAGCAGTATCCAGAGCATTAAATGATCCTCAAAAGCGAGGGTTTCATCTGGGACTCAAAAGACATCATGATGCAATGAACTAAGTGCATTGAGAAACTCTAGACTACTGTGAATAACAACATATGTATAATGTAGGTAGGAGCAATGAATTTTTGAATGCCCTCTCCAGATTTATATTTGAAATTCTTATTTAAAAAATGAGACCAAGAGATGTATCAACTGTATACTCACTTTCAGCATGAAGCGATGGAAGAACAGAACTAGGAGAAGGATCAGATCATAAACAGCATAATTGGGCTTCATCTCAATGCCAACAATTCTTGGAGCCCAGAATGGATCTTGAAACCTGAGATCATTAGTCCAAGGCCAGAAGTTGAACTGGAAGGCATACTTGATGAGTATCACAACCTATTATGGACACCACAATATCACTTAAAATATGAACTGGCTAATCATTAAATATGGGAGATACTGCATTCACCAGCAAAGGTCTACAATATCTTACCTCTGTATAGGCGATGACAGTGATCCAGAAAACTTTAGTAGGTCTTGGGACACTCAGAGTACCCCAGAGAAAAACCAGCAAGGGAAGAGGAAGGGAGAGAATGCTTGCTGACTTTAACTGATTCACACACATCATAATGTAGCACAGGAGCTCAGAGCGAGAAATGAGGACAAACCAGCAGGCTACAAGAAGCCTGATCACAGGATATTGCTGTTTTTCAAACTGTGGATCCATTGCATCAGAAGTTGGCTCAGGAAACTCACTCCTGTCCAGGAAAATCAAGAGAAAAAACAGTCATGTTTTTAATATAATACCACAATCCTATGGTTTTGAGACATACTGTACATAGAGTGTTGTCAGACATGATCATTGTCCTAACAATGTAGATAGCCAAGAGAAATAAAGGATCCTTACATAATATCACAGTTCTCATCTCCTGGAACAAGAGTATCAAGTCGATCTTCAGATGGTCTTTCAACTCTGATGGCCACCTCATTCTGATCCCTTAAGGACAAGGAAGCAAGAAATCTGAATGGCAGTTCAGGATGCAATCAATTCATTCATAAAGAAAGACTGTCTACAAATGGTGAAAATTATATACAGGGTTAAGTGGAAGTCACTGAACATACAACAGGATGATTATGATTTACTTACAATCCCATTGCAACAAATATTCAAATTGCTGACCCTTTGCTGCAATCTATTGGCACTCAACCATGGGCACCACATGTCCATGCACACTCACAAACCTTGCCACACAGACATTAGTGTGTAAACATCACCAGTGACAAGATAATCAACACCATATGTGGAATTGTGGGTCTTATGAGAAACTGCATTGTAACATATGATAATAAAAAAGTAAAACAATTTATGTTATACTGATTGTAATCAAACCATGTCGATGCAAATAAACAGGGTTTATCCAGTGTCTGGTGACTTCTGCTCAACCCTGAAAGTAGGACCTGCCTGATAGATCCTGAACTTGATGATGACCTTCCACTGGAATGGAATCCTTGGATATTTCCAGGCAAGCCACTCATCTTGATCTCCTTCTTCTCCTTTGCAAGGCGCCGTGCGACATACCGATAGTCAGCAGATATTCGATTTAGGTAGTTAGTGGCACTCACCATTGCACTCTCCACCACCTCCCATATGAAACGAAGATACCTATGTGCCTTTTGCATGAAAGGCTCAGCTTCTTCTGAAATGGAAACCAATGAGGAAACAAATAAAAAATTTTTTAAAATATGCTGTATGGAAGCTTAATTCACTGGATTCCTCCTTGGGTAGATCAGGAACATCGTCTGGTGTAGTTGGTAGCTCTCCCTCGTCATCTGGTTTCTCTACAGTCCTTGAATCATCTGCTTCACCATCCTGTGGAAGAGGGAGTGCTCTTACTGAATACCTGGGGTCTATGGGCTATTTGCTGTCCATGATGAACTGTAGAGTGGCCCTTAGGTTTCAGTAGTTTTTTAAGTACCAAATTTAGATTCTAAACTTCAAATTAAAAAAATTATCAGAGAACTTAAGGGCCATACTTGCCACATATTGGTAAGTTGTGGCTTGTAGTTAGTATCCCAAGTTCTAGAAGGATAAATAAAACATGAGGGGAAAAAAAATCAATTCCTCAAACTTTTCTCCTCAATTTGTAGGAAATATGGATTATACTCCACTTGATGTTCCTGATAGGTAGTTCTCTAGATAGAGCTCCACTTTTGGTCCAGGACTGGTACTAAAAATTTTCCAATCAGGAAGTGATAAGTCTCATGTGGGCTGTGATAAAAAAGGAGTACTTATATTAATAAAATATTCAACTTTACTGGAAAATATATTTTGCCCTTGTGGGCCAAAAGAAAGGCCTTTATGGCCTATATGCAGCCTATGGGCTATGGTTCAAGTACCACTGGTTTATGAAGAGAATCTCAAGTAAGCTATATATGAAGAAATTTCAGGATCAAGTGCAACTCTTCAGCCTTCTCATTTGAGCTCATAACCTTGCTGTGTGAGTCAAGTTTTTATTAAAGTCTCCTCATTGATACCATAATGGAGTTTAATGTTATATGGGAGGCTGACATTACCATGACCCTAAAATGATAGAGAAATTTTATGCAACTTCTTGGGAGGATGAGAACTTGGACACTCAGGAGTAAAAATTCCTTGTGGTTGGCAACATATTTAGAAATGTGCTACACAGTATAAATAGAGCAAATAGGCCATGGGCCTCCAGTGTTATAAAGTCAGCCACTCTTCGTTGCTCTCTCTTTTCATCTCAGATACATCATAATCCGGGAAACTTTCTCAAATGATACTATTTACAAGAAGCAGGAGAACATGATCTTCCAATGTAAAAAATTTCCTATAACACAAATTCTTCTAATTCTGGAAAATTTTCATGAGATTAGCATACACGGTACAAAAAAGCAAATTAGAGACAATCAGTACCAGTCAGGTGCCCTCTAATTCCTGCCTTCTCAAACCTGTCTCTGCAAAAAAATACATATATATGAGGGTGGTGCAAAAGTAGAGGCAATTCTACTCTACAGTGGTGTACACATGTATTACAGCCAGAGATAGGTACAATGGCTCATGTGATAGTAGAAAGGGTTTTAGAAAAGGTACATGGAGTGTGGACGACAAGAGGAATAGAGAAGGTATGCCCATAAGCATAAGATGGCAGCTAGTCTCAAATCGATGCACTTTTGTGCAGCAGGATTTTCTTCCATTGCAAAGGTCAACCATTTATGCCAAAAGAAAGTGACTGCAAGTGTCAGTGCTACATCATTCACGTTTCTATGTGTATTTCATCTGTTTTGTTTGGCAATCCAGTAACATGAGAAACCAAAATTACCTAAAAGCTAGGGAGATTAAATGTAAAGCGAAGCAAAGGGAATAGGATGGTAAATGATAATATGGGGCAAGAAATTTGCACCATGACCAGCTAGGGGTAAATCAGACCCTGAGAAAATGTTAAATTTTTTCCTATAATATATTGACAATGGAGATTCCAAGTGGCATATGACTGAATATAATGGAAAGAAACTCCCTTCTTGAGAGTTTCACCAAGTACTGAGACCCCCAATACATCTACAGTCATTATTTGCCTCAGTCTTGCTACATGCTTCTGTCAAACCACAACAAAAGAAAGGCCCATTTGATATTGAAGCAATTCAAAGCCATGCAGAGTTGCTGAAAGGTCACTACGTAGAGCCTGAGTGCATTTGTTTATTTGAAAGGATACCAATATGGTGTTAACCCCTTCACTGGCGCAAATGAGCTGGTCTTGCCTCAAAAACAATTTGTGTCTGAAAACATGCTAGTGAAGGGGTCAAGAGTGCTGTGGAGAGTCAGATTGGAACCTCCCAGTGCAAGAGCTTGGGAAGAAATGGCTAGTCCTAGGCAAGATGTCTGGTTTAGTAAAATCCATCATTTGATTATGCATGCATATTGCATAGGTGCACTTGGCTGCACTGGGAATTCCAACTGCCTTATGACTATCCTCTGGTTTTAGACTATGTGGCCAAATCATTCACTACCACACTTGCTACTTTTCCATGTAGTCCAAAATCATTATAAATTGTTATTCTGAAATGGCCACTACTTTTGCACTCCCCCTTGTATTTATTGGCCACAGGGCATTGAAAAAACTCAAGATTATGTTGAGCATAAAAAATCAAATTTTCTTTTGCAATTATGTGGCATATGTCAATATTGCAAATATTTTATGGTGTGCATTTTTTCCAAGTTACAGTACTCCATAGACTTGCAACTAGTTGCAGTCATTAGTACTTCACTTGCCATTTCATACATAGGCTGCAATCTTTGAAGCAACAAAGTTTGAACTTGGTTAACTTTTAAACTGCATTTCCAGTGCTTTACACATTAAATTTAATTATGATTCCCTGTTTTACCTCAGCATTTATTTTAGTTATAAAAACAAAACAGTCAAGTGATTGGGGGCAACCAGTAAAGAGGCAAATCTAATGATGTGAAAACTTCCAAGCACCATCTTTTCAATACTGTCATAATTTCAGAGTGAGCAGCAATGCCTCTGAAAACCAATTTAGTAGCACAAGCTGGAGTATTGAACTAAATAAGAGAAAAGAGAAAGACTCAGAGAAAAGTCAATAAACATATATAACTCCTTGTGTGAAACATGAAAACCATCCGAAGTCACATACATCAGAAGGTTGAATAGATGGGGTTATGAAGCTCTCAGTGCTTCTCCTCTTCTTTGCTTCTTGCAGTGCATCCTCCAAATCATTTTTCATGGCAGAACTCAACAGCTGAAAATAAATCAATCATCCACAGCATGATTCTCGGTTGATCAATGCAAAAAGATTTTTTTTTTTACAATGGACCATCAGTTGGAAACATTAGTCATTTCCAAGCTCTTAGTCAGGTACTCTGCAGATATGTACGAGTATACAGGAAAACCTGTAGAATAAAACCGACAATGCTTCTGTACGATCACTTTCAAAGGTTGTCATAGGTTTTCAGCTATATAAATGTATCCAGTCAACTCTCGTAAATCCGGACTTCAGGGGACAGTTTCGTCCTGATCAGCGGCTCCTCGGCTACTCCAGATTATCGAAAACCTACCTTTGTGACCACTTATTTATTTACTTTTTTCAGGCGAAGAAAACAACACACCCAGTCACCCAGTGTCTAGGAAAACGACTTCATGTATTCCGTTCCTTTTCTTCATGCGAATGTTAAACACTGACTCAATTATTTCGACCAATCAAATCGAATAAATGCAGCATTTTCACTTTCTTTGATTCACGCAAAAAAAGCACCACTGGAGGTCGCTTTCCAGGGAGAGTAGGATTCCGTACTCCCAATAAAGAGAACACGTTTCCGTGAAAGATTTCCTACCTTCGCGCAAACGAATGTGAAATGAACGTTCCAAATTGGTTTTCCGCGAAAGAGGGACACCAGGTCGGACAGCATCCTGTTCACGTTATCGCCACACTTCCTTATGTCTGAGAATGCCGATGACGGAACATTCAAATCATGTGCTGAGCCTACTCAACTTGCTCTTCAACCATGTTGAAGCGCAGAGAAACTAACTTCTCGAGGCTCTAATGGCAAGGACGAATGAGACTGACTTGAGAAGAGGGAGATGATTGCAAAGAGTGAAAGCCTCGCTGAAAAGATCAATCCCGATTCCATGAAAGGGAGGAGATCGAAAAAGCAGCAAGTTTTTCCTGTTTCGTTTTTATTTCAGGGTGAGATAAAGTAAAGACACGAGAAAGAGACCCTGGGAAAATATATTTCTGTTGAATTTAATCTCTTTTGCTAGCCAGCTCAGATTAACAGAGAGAATGGCACAAGGGAGAGAGAACTCGTCCATATAAACGGAAGCTGCGAAAAAACGTCATTCGGCTTAATGGACAAATTTTATCGTAGGTTCCTCGGGATTTCTGCTGGGACCACTTCTCGTGGCCGAATAAACGGGAACTCAAGATTATTGACATTCGGATTAACGAGAATTGACTGTAAATGGATGTGCTTGTGAATCAGTGAATTGGGAACATGCATCTCAAGCTCCAATGTGGAAGAACAAACCTGTGGAAGAAATCATTCATGCTAAACAGTGCAGAGTGCAATATCATAGTGGGTGAAATTCCAGTACTTTTTTCATTTAGAAACCACAGGGTGTTCCATAAGTCTCGCAACAATTTAATTCGGTCATATTTTCTTTAAAAAAAATTAGCAGATATAGGATTCATACGGCCCTTTTCCCATTCCGAGTGACGTTTTCCTCGGGAAGCACCAAAATGAACGTGTTTATGCATCAAAACCTGAAAATCAGCATAGTTGAAAGCAAAAATTGAGAATGAAGTCTGAGGCACCACTGAAGACATTCGTGAGGAAGTCAGACACTTTAGCTGCCTGGCCCTGAGTGCAGAAGCCATATTTTCGGACACATGGAGCGAATCCTGTGGAAAAATCGCGTTGACACAAAATCTCTCAATAGTTAACCCTTCAAGCGCTGGGTTTTGACCTGACCTAAGTGATGAACGTACGGTGTACGTGAAAACCACTTGAAGAGATAACTTGAAATTAAGATTTGTATTGAATCTATGTGCCAATTACCAAAGAGAATATGATCATTTTAAGTTGTTGCGTGACTTATGGAACACCCAAGGCATTAGACCCATGACATTCATTCTTTTCCCAATTACAGCTTAATTCGGGCCATCAAGTCACACAAGTTTACTCAGATGGACACACTCATAAATGTGATAATTTCACAGCTAATTACCATTCTAAACCAGTGCTCAGCTAGTCCAGAGAATGCCATTTCGTTATTTCTACTTCACGATATATGACTCCAAAGGAGAAAGCACCGCCAATATGAACAAATTTACCTTCACCAGCATTGGAATTTGCTATGGGAGAGATACAGTAATATGCCAAGAGCAAGTTACGTTTCAAACTGCTTCAAGTATATTTTCTTAGAGATGGACCAAATTTCTTTAAGAAGGCAGTAGTGCTCATACCTGAGAAAGGGTCATTCCAGGTACAGCAGGAAGAGGAAAAAAGTCATCTTTGTTTTTTGCATTGATCTCCACTATAGCTTCCTCCTCAAAGTCTTCAAACATACAGTAGTCACCAGATCTGATGGCTAAAAATATTAATTGGAAATCTTTATTAGTGTCACATGCACTTGAAACGTGGAAATTAGATTGCATGGACACAAGGAATCACAAGACTTAATGAGACATTTCCAGGGAATGAGAGAAATAACACATTTTGGGCAGCCAATAACCACAAAGGCCAAAGATTAGCTCAAGAGATGACATTGCAGTAGGAGTGCAGTCTTGAAAAAGGGGTGACACAGAGAATAAAACCAAGCCTTCCAATCTACTGAACATACTTCTGTGCATATAAGGGAATCATATCAAATAAGATCCTGAAAAAGAGATAATTCAAAAATGGGAGTTCAAAAGGAGACAGTGAAGGAAGGGAGCATTACAAAAGTTAAACTCCCAAAAGGTGAATTTTTGCAACGGGATTTCTTGCCTAGAGGGCATAATTTCATTATGAGTTGCAAATGATTCAGAACTACCCCACATGGCTTAGGAGTTCCTAATGCATGAGTCATCATGAATACATGCTTTCTTAATTCATAAGGAAATGAATTTACCTTTTCACCCTGAAGCAAAGAATGACTTTTTTTTTTAAAAGAAGCTTGATTATAGGCCCAGTGCATGGGAAATGCTAAGGTATATGAATCCTTGCAATGGGATGTAGACATTCTTATTCCCTGATTTGATGAAAGAAAACTATTGCTAGAGTTATTTCTGGGAAGCATTCATATTCATCCAGACCCACAGAATGGATACAAAAGGCTATATCTTGTGGAATTCATTTGACTCAACAAAATGTGTTTTCAGATCTTTTGACCTCAGAATGAATATAATATCCCTACAGCATTGTTAGAAAGTGAATGGTTGAAATTCACCATGTGTACCATGTGAAGCCAAAGGAACGCAATGCTCTTTGAAATACTGTGGTGCTTATGAAACAGCAGTTAACACAACAAATTTTACACTTTCATACATACTTCTACAAATCCTTTAAACATTCTAACATTTAAAATCATTTTACTTCCAGCCATTTTGCCACATGAGTGACTTTACAAAATCACCTTGAGAAACAATGGCTTCTTCTTCAGAAACGCAGTTTTCTTCAACTTAAGATAATGCTAGACATACTGCTCTCCTTTCTTCCTCTTGGATGAACCAGCAATTGTAGCTTATAAGTCAATATGTTAATGGTACATTTATTCCATCCTTTTCATAAAGTTTATATTCATAAAGTTTTGGCTGCACCCCATCCTTCCCCATCATTGAAAAAAGTAACATGCTCATGCTTTAACCACTGCTTCATCTTCTATGGAGAGCCCCATTCTCACAGACAGACTATGGAGCAATATTAGTTGCTTTTACAAAATCACTCAGGTGATAAAATGGGTGGAAAGAAACACAACATTTTTGGATGTTTAAAAGACACATAGAAGTCATAGCAAAAAAAATGTTGCAATATCTTCTGTCTCATTAACGCCACAAAATTCCCAAGAGCAGTGACTTTTTTATGCCTCACCAGGCATAAGTGAAAAAGCTTGAGATTAAGAGAAAGAAAGAGAAAGAGGAGCTGATCAGGACTGCAAAGGGAAGTGAATTATAGCATTGAAGCAAGGAGAGCAAGTGTCTGCAAAAATTTTAGACTGTTTTTCAAAATGAGGTGTATGGCTAGTAATTCCTCACAGATATACAAATATTCAATAAAGCAACTTGGGAGCCATCTTTGAGTCCCACCAACACAGAATTTTGATTACCATAGTGAAATGAAAATGAATGCCACAAGAGAAATAGGTAGGTATATACACTACAAAAATTGTATTTTTTCGGCTGTCTCATTTGTATTGCTACTTTATATCATCTCTTAAGTGCTCAAGGTGTTCTAGTATATCCTAAAAATGGATAAAGCCTGAAGCATGATTTTACCTATCTCTTTCTTCTTCAAGACTACACTCATACAGCAGTTTCCTCTCAGAAACAACATTCCACAATATCACATGAATGCTGCTGAAATGCAATACTTGAGTCAGATGTGATAATTAAGGTGAAAATACTTGACATGCATGAAAGTCTCAAATGGCAAAAAGGACTTCATGCAAATCTGAATAGAAAATATCTTGCAGCAACACCATTCCAAAATGATGAAGTAAGCAGTCAAGATGGATCCACTCATCAATCAACATGAAAAATTAAACGATGACCCTATAAAGCTCCTGTAAGTTATCGTTTATGGTATAATGAACCAAAGAAGACAAATAGATCTTTCCAACAATATGGGATGCTCTCCAAGATTGCAACACAGAAATTTGAGCTGTGAAAGGAATACAAAAGGGTTTAAAAAGCTTAGGGGACTGGTCAGTATTTTTTTTTTTTGGAATGGGACATCATACCACCAGCAGTGCAAGCATTACACAAGCAAAAACGAAATAAAGTCATTGCAATCTTCCAAAAGATGTGGTGCTCTGGCTGGAAATATTTTTTTTGGTTGCAAGATTTTGGGATTTGCCAAAATGGCATTTTATCTCTAAGGAAATTTCTCAAGGACAAGTAACTATAATAAGAGGATATAATGAGTGCACCCAAAATGAACTCATTCTTCACTGATAATCTGTAGGATGGATGATTTTCCTATAGCTAGGAGGGAAAGCATGACCATTCATATGATGATGCATGTTTGTTCCTAAAATGGAGGTAATGCATTCAATATTGTATTGTGTTCATGATACATATGATATGCTACTGATTTGTGTCACAAGCTAACATGCTTCAACTTAACCACTCAACAGTAATATGTCTGTTGCACTCATAATCACAGGTCAACACATCAGTCACCATTGTCTTCAAATATTGCCCAATATGTGACATCTTTCCCATGATACTTAATAAATTCAGGATCATGGGCATGATGATGGTCTGGATGATGTCTTGAACATTTGTTTCATTTCATCAATGTCCACTGGCTTTGGAGCACACTTTTGTCCTCATGAAACCCCATAGAACAAAATTTGTGAGTGTGATTTATACAATGCTGTCCAGTGATAAATTTAAACATATTGCCTCATAGTTGCACACAAATCAGAAACATATCATATGCATTACAGACACAATATCAAATTACATGTGTTACCTCCATTTTGGGATTAAGAGTACACTTAAATTGGGATGTGGAACTGGAACAAAATCTTTTCTCAAAAACATAATGAATAATATGGCACAATATGGACAGAAGAAGACTTTTGCTAACAGAATGACATTTACACCAACACGAAAAATGACAAAGGGAATCTTGTAGGGAATACAAATAAAGTCTGAGACATCCAATGATGAACAAAATTGCTTGAAGCAATATAAGATTCATAAAACAGAATGGGTACAGATTTTCAGAATGCAGAGCTGAAAGGAAGAAAGGAATTCAAGAGTAGACAGGAGACATGGCCAAGATGGAGACGGGAATACGACAAGGAATATTTCAGAATTCTCATATTGGATACTTCACTGGCATGATGAGAGCAGATGGAGGAACCGTGGCCCTGTCGAGAGGAAGCGAGTCGGTAGGGCCAGGAATCCCGTTTGCCAGGAAAAGGGAGGGGAGGAGAAAACAAAGGGAAGGAATCCTCAGAGTGAGGAGGTGGATCAGAGGAGAGGTTTGTGGTATCAAAAGAGGGAGGCTGTTCATGGAACCCATCCAAGGAGAAGGTCACTGCATTTGAGGAAAGTGACAAAAGTGGAGAGGGCTGCTTGGCAGGGGAGAGGGAAGGCTTCCTATCCAGGGGAGGGCTCATAGAAGGAGCAATTGGGTAAGGGATGCTGTAAGAACTGGGATCTCCTGTGAGAAAATGAAAACTGATTTCGAACAGTGCAGTCCTCTGCTGAATATGTGGTTAGGACAACCCCTGTAAATCTAACACTGTTCACATGAAACCCTGAATTCTCTCAAGTAAGATGCCACATAAGCTGCATGAGAAGGAAATTATCCTTTTTAGAAACTTTTATGAAAGGTCCAGTTAGAAGATCAGAGAATGAAGGGGACCAATTTGAAATTGAACATTCTCCCTCAGAAAGTCAAAGGTTGAAAGAACAATTCATATGGCATTGACCACTACTGAAACATCTAAGTATCCAGTACAGTGAAATAAAGATCCAAAACAGAAACTTTCAAATTCAGTCAAGGGGAGTCACCAAGTTTTACAGCTAACAATGAACTGTCTGTAATGTGCTCAAAATCATGGAATGCAAATTTATGGGGAATCATGACTTTTAACAAGATGGTCACAGACTAATGACTGAGCTGGTTTGCATCAACTTCATCATCACGAACATATGAAGGTTACATTTATCATGATTCTCACCAGCATCCTTACTCCCAAAAAGTTTGAATGCATAAGGAAATATACTCCATTTGATTCCTAGGTGGTACATATATGGGTTCAGTCCTCTTGTATTTGTGAGTAGTCACTTGTCTTGCTACTTATACAAGTAGAAAGACTCTGAACTTATATGCTTGTAACTCTGGAGGCAATGCAGAGGTATTTGTAGTGAAACAGCGAGCCTCAACTCAGACTTCTTTTGTAGAAAAATGATCTCACCTGGACAATATTATTATGAGATTGAAAGAACAAATACTTACCATCATAATGATCCTTGGGTTCCCTTTCCCCACCTGGTAGCCTTTGATTGACTGCTTTGATTTCTTCCATCTTCATCTTTATCTTTCCCAGAAGCTCCTTCTCCTGTTTTTCTTGGATTGCAATCTCTTTCTTCATGATTTCTGATATCAACTCAGCACCTCTGAAGATTACATGAAAAAGGAACCACAAAAGATAGTAGTGACTCATTCAATAATTTGCCACTCACTCAGCCTGATATAATGATGCTGTATTCCACCAGTTATTGAAAAATGTATATAGCAAGAGTTGGCCATCCACATACCTAGATGCAAGCAGTGCCTGTGCTTTCATATCAGTAACAATATGTTGAAAGTAGAAGGAACGAAATATTTTCCTTTGCAATAAGAGTACTGCCAAGCAGATCCCATCCCACAATAAGCCTGCTTCAGAAGTTGGCTCCAAGCACTGACTTTCTCCTGTGAAAATAGAAGATGGATGAAAAGCCATAAGAGTCACAATCTTGAAATGGATGTTAAGTTTACAGCATTTGAGAGGAGTGATAAAATTTTGTTAAATTACATGTCAAAACCTTTATTCAAGATAAAGATGTCAACCTCATACTGAGAAGACTTTCAGAGAATGTGCATTAAAGCCATAATTTCTTTTTCATGGAGGGAGGGCTTATAAAGACAAGCAAAATAATAGACTGAAGAGGAAGAATGAGGGGAATCAGAAAACAGAATTTTAGAAAGGAGACTGGTATATCTCAAGGATTATGGAGCTCACCATTGGGGAGTATATCCTCAGCACTGCCACCTACATTCTTCAAGCAGACAATTCCAAACACCTGGACAACTCCACAATGTTTTTTGTATAGTTCCTCTAGGAAGACACACCCAACAACTTGCAGCACAGCTTTGATCAAGATCACAAAGACATTGTAGAGGATGAGGTAATTCCACCTAATGGAGACATCAATGAATGCAATGCATTGAAGAGTACTCACTCAGTGACTTCATGACAGAGATAAATTAAGTCTTTGTGATACTCACATCCGTAGAATGGTGGGCAAGGGTTTCAGATAGAAGGTGTTTCCATACCAGAGGAAAAGAAATGTTCCTATCACATACCCCATGGCAAAAAGAGACACTCTGTAAGTTCCAGCCAGAAACACAACTGCTAGCGATATCCAGAAGAAGGAGAAGAACAGGGCCACTTTCAGCATGTCCAAATAGGACCTGAAAAAATGAATCATTAATGCAGGAAGTCATCAACATACATAATATTGGTATAGTGGTACCAGTGCCAGATATGAGGGATGGTAGAAAAGGTAGTGCACTTTATTTTCTATATGTAGAATGCTTGCTACTAAAATACTCATGCTCCCACTCTTGAAGGGTGGCAATCCTGCCTGACATAGCTCTAGCATATCAGGTTGGTAACACCTAACAGAGCACAGTTAGACAACATTTCTGGTGAGTATGTGCACAGACAGCCTATAGTGATGAATTTCCTTGTTGCTGAGGGCAAGAAGGCCTCATGCATCTTCTGATGACTGTAAAATGTCTATAAGGATCAGTGTTTAAAGAGAAGTGCAATGTTTGAATGGGTATACTGATTTAAAAGCGGACACACATCAGTTTGAAGATGACTCATGCTTGGGCTGCTCCAGCACATCTATCACTGATGTTAATGACAGCAACCTTAAGGACGGTTTGGTGAGGCCTTCATTTGCTGGATTCATTGGTGGAAAATGTGTGGATGTGAAGGGAGATCATGTCAAGAAATAGCCCAAGTTTGGAAAGTCAGTGTCTCATTTCCCATTATAGAAAATAAAGTCCAAGAACCTTCCTACTCCCCCTAGTATGAAAATCATCACCAATGCATTTTATTAAAAGTTGGAAGGAAAGACATTCCATTATCTTCTCTCTTTCAGTCCATTTTTTTGGACAATCAATGCTTGACATGCAAGTAAGGGTGTAAGGGTAGGGTGTTTCATGTGGGATTTCCTTAATCTGAATTCTATTATATCCTACACATGAGTGTCATGACAGCTATGAATTCATGATGCATGGAGTCAATTCAGAAATCAAGCAAACAAATCAAACATACTTTGTGTAGGTGACAAAATCAGGAACAGGATTGTTGGAGGGTGATAGGTCTTGCTTTGTGATTTCATCATTACTTCCTCCAGGGTAACCAGGAACACATTCTAGCCGAAAAGCTTCCAACTGGCTTATCACCATCAACAGGAGAACACAGTCAGCTGTAAAAAAATCTTGGACAGGTAAGGAAAACCATGAACATGAGGAAGCACTATAAATATTGAGTGTGTCTTGGCTGACCAATGATGATGGTTGGATCTGGTGGATGAATATAATCTGGTAAATACAGCCATTTTATTAGCTCTTGCTGAAGAACTCCATCCCATGGATAGTCTGAAACAGAATCAATATCATGATCTCTTCATGTATTTTATGCCATACAGCATGGTAGTAGATGATTGCGTACCCAAACAAAGTCCTGGAGGAAGACCAACACAGATTGCATACTGGAGTGGAACAATGAGAGCGAGAAATATGGCAAAAACCTTCCATGTCACAGATAACATTGGGCGACGCATGATAACCATAACACTCAACCAGAGGGCATAAATAACTCCATACAGATCCAAATGTGCACCAATAACAGCCACAATTGTGATCATACATATCTGAAACAATAAAAAGCAACACAAGGAACATGACCAGTACTGCAAAAATGGAATTGGTACAAATGAGGCAAACTGGGAAGTAATACACACCTCTACACCAAACTTGTAGAACCCATGATTGAAAAGGAACTGAAGACAGCAAAAGAGGCCATCATCTGCCTGAATCCTCCCCACTTTTGCAAACACAACACCAGGTGGTGGAACTTCCTTTCCCAAGTTGTAACGCTGATAGCTCTGACGAATATGCACTACTGCCTGGAGAGTCAGAACCACCAGTATGCCTGCAAAAGAGTAAATGACATCCAATGATTTTGTTCACACTTGTATGCAGAACCCACCATCTTTCCAAGTTCTCTGATTCCTCAAGTCATGAATTTTGTGTAAGTATTTGATTGTGCTGGTAGTCATTTTCACATTGAATCAACTCTGCAGACTCATAGTACCAGTGGTTCTTAGATAAATGCTTCTTAAAAATAATTATATGAATTAAGATTTTGACATCATAGAATATAACGCTCGCTTAGACCAATGCTGGTCAACGGGTCCTTCATCGTCAGAGCAAGATTGAATTGAAATTTCTGCATAATGCCTGACCTGGCTAATAGCCTTGTCTTACCTAGAGTTTTTCAGACTTCGAAGAGGGACTAAAATCCACTTCCCCTTAAGTGAGAACCAAAATTTTAGATGCTTTAGGAAAACAGTATTGATATATTCAATCCATATCCAAGTTATGCACCACACTCATTTCACTCAGGTTCCAAGTGCTCTTTGAAAAATGCAAAGTTCACGATGTAATGGGATTTGAGGCAGGGTGAGGCTCAAGTATCAATACCAAGAGAGGCATTGGCTCAAGTGTTTCTATATTAATGCTAGTTTGCGCAATAAAATGGAAAAACAGCGAGGGAAGGCACAGAGAATCGGTCCAGATGTCATATGAATCGCTGAGATTTGAGGGAGCTTTGACTCCATGGATAAGAAATATTAAATTCAGGAATTCCAAACTTTGCAAAAGGAAATATTCAGATTAAATGGTGGAGTCATTACATACACTAAAAACGAACAAGGCGCCTGCATTGGGGAGGGTCTCATTTCCGTAAATTGAGAGTAAACTGAACAATTACAGTGCAAGATCAGTGGGGCAACTGGGAGAATCTTGCTAGGAATCTGCCTTAGGTCGCCAAATACTCTCTGAGGATCACATAGCTTTTTGTGTGCTATTAAGTAGAATCGGAGAGAATTCACAGAGGGTTTTGTTCCTTGAGGATTCTTACATGCCCAATATAAATTGCCTAGTGCCGTGATAGGAAGTGGTGAGGGGAGAGAGAAAAAGAGTAACATGATGTGATCTAAGATCTCTTGAGCAGCATGATAGAGAACCAACCAGAAATGCCGCTTAAGACGGGATTCAGTTCCAGTCTCGATTGGGAAGGAGGATTTCGAGGTCGACACAGTACAGGAGCATTGGGAGGTAAATCTTATTCAACATGGTTCTGCATGGTGAAATGAATGTTTACATCCTTAAGAAGTCAAGAAGACTGCTTAGATTGCTGACCTGGTTTACTTGTGAAATATAGGTAGTTGATCATATCAGAGGCAGAAATGAGATTCTCATTGACAGTAACCAATCTATGCAGGAGGAATATTGGGTTTCCACAAGGTGATTGAAGAGTGAAATAAGATCGGCTAAGCAGGTTAAGGAAGGCTAACGATTAATGCTAAGAATGACCCCAAAGATTTTCATTTTTATTCATATATATATATATATATATATATATATATAAAGAGATGAGGGCATATGTAGAAGCCAACGATACAAGATATTTTTATGATTCCCAACGTTTCGGTGAAACACACCTTTTTCAAGGGGAATGGGAGAAAAGACCTATAAGCCAAATTATTTGGTCAGGTTAAGGAGTCACTTGAGGGTGGAGAAGAAGGGATAGGAAGATAGAAATCCGATGTCCTTGTTCAATCCTCTTGTATGGGTCTTCCATTTGATGATGTGAGCTAGTTCACAGAGCCTTCGATCCTTCCCATTTTTTAATTTGGAACCTCCAGACACGATGTCAACCCTCAAGTCAGACAACGTATGGGGTTGTGCAGCAAAATGTTGAGCCACAGCCAGTTCTGGAACATTTCTGCAAATCGAGCTTTTATGATTATTGAAACGCAGTCTGAAAGTAGTTCCCGTCTCCCCCCCCCCACGTATTGTACTTGGCACCTTTTGCAATCGATGGTGTAAACAACATTGCTTGAGTCACAGTTGTACTTGCCATCTTCGTTCTGGAAATGAGGGCAAATTTGGCATCGCGGTTTTCCACAAGGAGCTCCGCCTTTCTTGATGTTCTTCCAGTCTGGATGGGAGGCATTCACGAGAAGTTTCCGCAAGTTGTTCGGTTGGCGGAAGGCCGTTAGTGGAGGATGAGAAAATATTTTTTTGCTGGTTTCATCGCTCTGCAAGATATGGAAATGATGGGTAAGGATTTTACCCAGAGCCCGTAGGGATGGATGATATGTCAGGACGCAAGGGACTAAGCCGGCAGTGTCATTCTTATCTTTCGTTCTGTATTGAAGGAGTTGTTCTCGAGGAATCCCGTTGACTTTTCCTATGGCATCCATGATGACAGAAGGATCATATCCACGAGTGAGGAGTATTCGAGACATGATCTCCGATTGTTTCTCGAAGGTCTTCTTGTCCTGGCAGATGCATTTCAAACATAGCACCTGGGCAAAGGGAATGGACCTTTTCAGGTGCATTGGATGTCCACTTCTGAAATGGAGGAGGTTTCCTGTGTCTGTGGGCTTCCTATAGAGATCGGTCGAGATCTCGCCATTCCGAAGTGTCAGCAGTAGGTCAAGAAACGATATGGAAGAAGTAGACTCCTGGAAGGAGAACTTGATAGTTGAGTGGAATTGATTCATCCAGTTGATGAAGTTGGAAAGGCGGTCGGGACCTTCGGTCCAGATCATGAAGACATCATCAATGAATCTTTTAGAGAACATGGGTTTCCATGGGGATTTCTGAAGAATTTCTTCTTCCAGAGAGTGCATAAAGATGATAGCATAGGATGGAGCCATTTTTGTGCCCATGGCTGTGCCATGAATTTGCAATCAATTCTTCCTGTCAAAGACAAAGTTGTTGTGTGTCAAGATGAACTCCATCAAGCTTTTGATGACCAAGGTGTCCTCTCTGGAGAACCGTTGTTTAGGAGAAATGTCTCTACTGCTCTAAGACCCTCCTCTTTAGGAATGTTGGTGTAAAGGGAGTGGACATCAGCTGTCACCAAAATTGCATCAACAGGGAGAATTGGCAGTTCCTTCAACATCTGAAGGAAATGAGTAGAATCCTTGACGTAGCTAGGAATAGATGAAAGGAGAGGTTACAGCTGTTCGTCGATGAAACCTGAAAGTTTTTCTGTCAACGCGCCGCATCCAGAGATGATGGGTCTCCCCGGTATTGGTCGTTCCTTCTTGCGAATCTTTGGAAGCAAATAAAAGCAGCCTGGATGTGGGGCAGGGGGCGAAAGATTCAGCAGGAATCTAAACCGATCCAGGAAGGATGCAATCAATGCATGGAGATCTTCCCAAAGGCAAGGGTGGGATCATCAGGAAGAGCTCGATAGTAGGTGCCGTCATCAAGTTGTCTATAGGCTTCCTTGATGTAATCCGATGAATCTAGAACCACCACTGCACCCCCCTTATCCGCCGGCTTAATCACAATGTCGGAATAAGACCTGAGATTGCAGATTAACCCTCTTAATGCCATGCTATCCGGTGAGGGGTGTTCGAAAAGTCCCATGCACCTTTTCACTGAAAAGGTAGCATTTTACTAAATATAGAGTCCCTAGAGAGAGACCCCCTGTCTCTTCAGGGGCTCTAACTAAATATGCCCACATTGCCCTCTGTCAGTCCTGTCAGGAACCAGCAGCAATAAAATTTCACAGCCGAAACATCAGCCCGTGGCAAATTTGGGTTAAGCATCAGACATCAGAGATAGCTCTTTCCATAGGAAATGCACAAGGATAAGAAATTAGCGAACGTCGTACCGATCTTTAAGATGTGGAATTTGAGCAATCCAGGTAATTAGAGGCTGTTGAGTCTCAAGAACATTCCGCGAGAGGCAATGGAAGGCATGACAAGAGATCCCATCCTAGAATTTCTCGAAATAAACTTACTCGTTCGGGAACCTCCGCATGCCTGCGACGAGGTGGCATTATCATCTTACTGATCTGCTGGAATTTTACGATTGGTTAACGGGTATGATGAATAGAGGGAACCCCGTTGACATAGTTTACCATGACTTCGCTGAAGCTATCAGCACTGTTCCTCACAAGAGGTTATGGGTTGCAATGGAGGCATATGGGATTCAAGGTGGAATGAGTGACTGACTGAAAAGTAATTAGGTGCCAGGAAGAGGGCAGGGAGTAATTGTAAATAGGGAAGCGTCGGTGGAAGTCGGGGTCAGTGAGAGGAGTAGTTCAAGGTTCCGTCTTCGGACCACTTCTATTTGTCGTTGATATGAATGATTTGGATTAAGGACTCAAGAATAAAATGCTGATTTGCCCACAACTCAAAAATAAGTTTCTCCATTACGGGAGAGGAGGACAGGATGCGAATCAAGAGGGGTTTAGGAGCTTTTGGACAAGTGGAGTTAACAGGGGAATGAGTTTAAGTTGTCATGGCCTTAACTCAGGTTGCAAATTGACTTCTTTACTTGTGGTGAATGCATGGAACGCATTAGGTATAAAGATGTTGTGGCTACCTAGTCTATGACTAGCTCTAAGAGGCTAGATGCCGTCATATACAAAGTGAAAAAAAAATGGTAGCAATATAGCTGTAATTAAACAATAGATGGATATTATGCCAAAAAATTCATACTCTTAGAGGGATTGACCTATATTATATGAATGCTTGATTTTTAAATGGGATGTGAATACAGATAGAATTTCTATTCACATCCCTACTGAAACCTTAAACCTTAAAAGGGAACAAGGTTCCAGAGCAGTAGAACAAAAACAAGTAAAAGAAAAATGCAGAGGATGTTAAAAGCTACCACACCAATGTATCCCTTGATGTAGCTGGGAAGAGAAGAGACTTTGATGAAGCCCATCCAGGCAGCGTTATTCTGCGTCACATTCTTCTCAACAGGTAAATCCTCAGTCAAATTTTGAGGAATCTTCTCCTGAAATAAAAATGAAACGATGACATCTGTTTATCACATGCATAAACTTTTGATGCAAATGGAAAGTTTCATGAATACTAACAGTGCAATTGACAGTCCAACCATTGGCATCAATGTAATCAATTTGGTATATCATTCGCACAATCAGTAGAATGGAGATGAATACAGCAACACAGTGCGAAACGATGATCCGCCCATGAGCTCCAAGTAAGGCACCAACAACTGCCAAAACAGTCAGCACAGCATGGCAGGCACAAACCTGGACATCGAAGACATTTTGTGAGCTTTGCTTCCTGATGTATAAAAATCAGATGGAAGTCCTAGAATACATGAAGGATAGTCTCATCTTACATCATGCCCAGACAGGAGGAAAACAGATAGAAGCAGAATTTTTGAGATATGCAGTTCTAGGAACCGGAGCACCAGCTCCCAAACAATTTTCCAAATGGTCTGGGCTTTCTTCAAATATCTTGGTAGTTTCTCCTTCATCCAACCTGCAACAAAAATAGTATACTATATAGACGTACAAATCTAAAAAAGGTGAACCTGCGGAGACATGCCACAAAGTTCTGCATCAGGTATGCAGAACTAGATATCAGGATACCATGACTCCAACTGATTTAAAAAATCAGTTAAATTGGTCGATAAAATATGACCACACTTGCCTTGAACTTTGGAAATGTCCATGGAATCACTGGCATGTTTTGAGGCAGACAGCGAGTGTGGTTCGTCACTTTCTTGTCTTGGATCCCTCTCTGAAGTCAGGTCCAAACTGTATTGAGAAGGAAAGATATGCAATACATAATTCTATTCATGCTTACAATGGGAATCAGCAACCATGACCACTGCTGGTTTTGGAGTTAAATACACAGGGTTATCAAATTAGTGCAGTAGTTTCTGCTCCAGTACTTTCTTGCCTATAAGCAAACATGATAGGAATTTAGAGCACAAATTAGAATATCTACATGAATGACAATTCAAGATAGGATGGGCTTTCCTTGCAAAAATGATTCTAAATGCAGGGTTTTATTCATTAACATGAATTATTCCAACTCAAGTAATAAACATTTCAAGAGCTTTGTGCCTTCCATATACTGGGTGGAAACAAATTCATGCAATTTGGCATTCTTAGTAATGGATAAATTTCTTGTCAGTGTGATGGTGAGTTCTTGAGAGGATATTTTACAGGAACAGCTATCAAAGTTTTCAAACGACACTTCAACCTGTTTTATATTTCTCCAGGCATGGAGCATCACATATCACAGTTGGCTGACTTTTGTCCTCCTGTTATGGTCCTGCATCTTGTGGATGGTGCCAAAACGACGAAAGGCAACATTGAACTCATCACCCTTCTTGGTCTTCTATGGAGAGGCTCTTCTCATTGCGCAATACATTTACAGCCTCAACCTCACAGATCAGGAGCTCCCTTCCAGTATTGAGAATGTGAACTTGGATCAGATTGGTTTTGTCAGATACCCTCATTATCCCCTTGGACCCTTGCTTGTCAAGGTGAACCTAGTTGTCTCAATATGCAAGAAGTTTAATGTTGTACCATGCAGATGATAATGCACATTGTGTTTCTTGCAGGCATTATACACAATGATGTTCTGGATGACACTGCGACAGCGCATGATGGAACTTCATGCTCAAAAGCACAAAGATGTCCAACATACAATAACCATGCAGCCATATTCTATTGTAGTCACAACAGCTGCTAGGGGATCTATTATAGGTGAGGATGAGCTAGTTGTCAGAAAATGATAGTCCCTCTCTATAGGATAAATGGCTAGAATTAAAAAAAGAACCACTTTACATCTCTGAGTTTCCTATTTATTTGTCCACCAATACTGGGTGAACCAAAAAAAAAAGCGCCACTCTTTGAAAAATTGTGGTGCCTTTGAAACAGCAGCTAGAATGACAAGGTTTATTTCACACATACCTATATGCATCCTTTGAGCATCTAAACATTTTGGCTTGTTTATCTCTAGCTGTTTTAGCACATGAGTGATTTTACAAAAGCAACTGGAATTTTATTTTTACACTCACACCTGGACGTTGATGCGAGAACCTGCCCAACTCACTAGGAATGAAAATTATTTTCAAGATTTTTTCTTCTGCACTGCACTTCAGAATTTGCTGAGCAGATCTCTGACTCATCTGTATGTCTGGCAATTTGCAGATGGGAATTTTGCATCCTAGGATTATCATTTTTATTAACAATGACTTCTTCTGTATGAACACAATTTTCTTCAATTTCAGCTAGTTCTAGACTTCCACTCCTTCTCTTCCTCCCAAATGAGCCCATTTCTCGTAGCTTGTGAATCAATCTCAACCTCAATCAATCACGATAAAGCTACATTCCTTTCGTCCTTTATCAGGAAATTCTTGCAAAATTCTGCTCCTCCCCATCGTTTCCCTAAGAACAGCATCTTTATGAGCAGACAGAGGAGCTCTCACCCAAGATTGGTGCCCTCCATGTGTAACAACTACTCTTCCACCACTGTATTTTATTGTGCAAAAATTAAATTCGAGTTGCCTTCACGTTTTTGCTCCTGTGATAAAATGGCAGGAGAAAAATGATAGATAATTTTTGGGCATTTAAAGAATATGTAGAAGTCTTTGCAAAAAAAAAAATTTGCCCTGCTCTCTGCTATCTCATGAACTCCCAAGAATCCCAAAGAGCTGTGCTTTTTTTGTCTCACCCAGTATACCCTTCTCATATGCATGATCATTGTTTGGCTTTCTGTAACCTGAAGTCTATGAAGGTACATTCTCAATAATGAGCAAGAAGGGGGCATCATCCTGCAGAGTGACTATGCTCCTTGTTGCTCACTTTGGATACCTTCCCCTGAGTAATCTCAGGTTGCAAGAAAAGCAAGCAGCTGCTATCCAAGTAATAGAAGTCTCCAGACATATCACATTCACTGCCAAAATTGATTATGGTCACTTTACCAAACTTCTGCTAAGAATGCCATTGTCAACTAAGTAGATTTGAAAAGGCATGCATATGTAACCCCACAAAGTGCCCTGAGATGGCATGAAAGGTGATGTTGTTGGTATCCGGGGTTCTTCTCAGACACTATTCAACACTAGTAACAGTGCTTAGTATTTTTTCACCCTTCCAGTTACCCACAATTCCACACCTTGTTTAGCCCCTGCAGATGACCCACAAGTTGCAGCCATGTGCTTGAAATGCATGAGGGATACACTTACAGTTACTAAGTGCTACAGATTGTGATATTGATTTTGTGCCAAAATTTGGTACAGATTCCTCATCTGATCAGGTTGAGGATTTTGAGGATGTTGAAGGTGGTGCAGGTACATCCCACCCACAGAAAAAAAGGAAAAAAAGTCTTACAATGCACTCCGTGTGTGTATGCAGCACCAGAAAAGTAAAACCTGATTTTGTTTAATGTTCTGTATGGAATGTTATTGCATCCAAATGACTTTTACATTCTGTATGCCCTTAAAGTCTACCAAGTAATTATTGAACATTTCAGACTTTTAGCTCTTATGAATTTCTTATTGTAACTCTTTTTCTGAAAAATTGCACACATTATTGCAGACCCGGAAAAACACTGGCAATCTAGCAGCAATCTTATTTTAAAAGTCCAGCAGTAAATTTGATATAATAAATTAAATGCAGTTTTGCAAAAAATTCAAGTCTAAAATTTGCTGCTTCCCTTTGTAGGATGTATATCATTTCATGGAGCTCTATGCACATGATTTTCATATGGTATGATATATTTAAGGTACTGTTCAGTCATTAATCCTTCCACTTGTTGAGCCCCCAATTGTTTAATGAGATTTCAAGAGGTGTTTAACACAACTAAAAACAACTACATTGTAATTGTGGACTATCAGTTGATTCATCAAGATATTTTGACACATTCTGTGAGAGTTACCAGTTACTTGCAGTTCCAAGTATTAGTAACATGGCTTCCAGCAGTCAAGCAGGTACTCTAGGTGAGGTTCAACCTTCCCCATATTTTAAAAGCATGGAATAATTATAAATCTCAAAAATTTTTTAAATTGGTCCCTACTTGTCATAATGCAGATATATGTATGGACAATATACTAAAAGTCATTCTGTAAGATTTTTTTGTTCAGCCTCACCACAATTGTGCTTTGTGTGAGACAATGTAGAGATACGCTTGCAGTACACTATTTTCAGATTGACTTCATACCCTACCCTCTGGGAGTGCCTCCATTGATTGCAGGAATTTACTTCTTGTGGGTAGATGATTAAATATGCTGTGCATAAATTCCTCTGTGATCACCTCGTGATGCATATGAAGCCCTGCATAATTGGTTCTATAACATAATGTTGAAAGCCAGAATGTCGTTAGATTTCTTGTCAACTTGCAAAAACATCAAGGGCTACACAACATCGAATGAACAATGGTCGAATGGGCAAAATATCAATTTTAATAATACTGAAGGCATCAAAATGTAAAAAAAGTAGAATCTTCTAAATGTTGAAATGCGATCTGGTATATTCTGTTCCTTGGGTCTTTATCACAGAGGGAAAATGTCTTTTTAGCTCTTGAGGCAGCAAAGGTTGTCTTGACAACCTTCACCTGGCTGGATCAGCATTGGTAGTGTTGGTTACATCAGTAACAAGTGCACTTCCATACAAATTTTTCAGTCCAATTGGTATCGTAACCTTGACCAACATGCCATACATGCATTCCCAGAGGGGTAACATAATGTTGGTTGTGCATGGATAGTTTCTAATTCGTGAAAAGTTCACAAATTAGAAGACTTAGAAGAATTAGAAAAGTGTAATGTAACTGCATGAAGTGCAGTTGTCATACATGATTCAGCATCACTTTTATGATGAACTGATGAAGTAACCACCAAAAGTCCGTGATTCCTTTCTGGACCATGGATAGGATGCAGTTCAACTTCTCCCTACTTCAGCATGGTGTGTTTGTTAGACTTCATTGAGAGGGTGATATCGTTTTGGTGACTTCCTGGGCAGAGAAAATAATAGTTTATTTCAATGTTTCTCTAATCGACATTTAGGCATTCTCTATTTCATTCATTCAACATTCAATAATTTGACATTTCTGGTAATTGACAATCGGACAGTCTGCATGTTTTATTGCTTTCAACATTTTGTCAGGAGATGGCACAATTACCTTATTCAAAATCTCCTTGGGTTTTGAGTTTTGATTGGTGATCATTTGGATTCATGCTAATTTTGATGCCACATTCAGCACAAGAATGACTGCATCAATGTTTCTTGCCTTGTATGTTTAGGATCTATCTGCCTGAGCAATGAGAATTTGGAAAATTATGAATTGTACTTATGAATATTGACTTATAAATGTTCTTATGCATGCATGCATCATTACATATACTTGTATATAATTATGTATCACCCTGCATTTCCTATAGTGTCCTCTCTCCCTTATATTGTCAAAAAGTTCATCGCAGAAGAGAGGTTCACAAGGCTAGAAAATACTTACCTAAATGTGAAACTA